TAGTACTGGAATTCCTAGCCAGAGCAATTAGGCAAGAAGAAGGAATAAAAGGAATACAGATAGGTAAAGGAACTGTCAGAATATCCCTATTTGCAGACGACATGATCCTATAACTTAAAGACCTAAAAAACTACTCAGAAGCTCCTAGATACCATCAATAGCTATAGCAAGGTAGCAGGATATGAAATCAACATGGAAAAATCATTACCATTTCTATATACTAATAATGAACAAACAGAAAAAAATATTTGAAAACAATTCCATTTGCAATAGCCTCAAAAAAAATCAGATACCTAGGTGTAAACCTAACAAAGGATGTGAACGACCTCTACAAGGAAAACTATAAACTTCTGAAGAAAGAGATTGAGGAAAACTATAGAAAGTGGAGAGATCTCCCATGCTCATGGATTGGTAGAATCAACATAGTAAAAATGTCGATACTCCCTAAAGTAATCTACATGTTTAATGCAATTCCCATCAAAATTAAAGATTGAAAAATTTACCGTTAAATTTATATGGAAACACAAGAGGCCACGAATGGCCAAGGCAATACTCAGTCAAAAGAACAGTGCTGGAGGTATCACGATACCTGACTTCAAACTATATTACAAAGCAATAACAATAAAAACAGCATGGTACAGGCACAAAAACAGACATGAAGACCATTGGAACAGAATAGAGGACCCAGATATGAAGCCACACAACTATAACCAACTTGTCTTTGACAAAGGTGCAGAAAGTATACGATGGAGAAAAAGCAGCCTTTTCAACAAAAACTGCTGGGACATGAGCCTTGAGAAGCTGCTGCACTGTTTCTCTGAGTCACATTTACTATTTCTAATAATGATGATGACAGTAACAATAGTGTTCACACATATATTGCCTACTTGCCAGTTTCCATTGGAACCAGTCTTATTTCTACCAGTGTCAGGATTGAAGCGGCAACTTGATGCTTGCTTTAAACAAGGTCTCAAATTTCAAGAACCAGTCTTCCAATACCAAGGAGATGCCACATTTTCAATATCATGAAAGTAGGACAGGGGCTAAGTCAAAAAGGAAGTCGATGATGGTATGTTGAAATCATAAAGAATTTTCTAAGTTCTGTTGTGAAGAAATTGGTTTCATTCAGAGTAAGAGAGCCAAGATATATAGGCACCTACAACATCTGATTCAATAACACCAAGTAGGTGAGCCAAGAACACTGGCTCTACAAGTTAGAACATACGGGCTCAAATCCTACACTATAGGTCACTAACTGAGCTTGCTGGTGCCTCTGTTTCCTTATCTGTTAAGTGGATGGTGATCATCATAATAAAGTTATATTTGAAACTGTTAAAAAAAAAACTGCTGAGAGAACTGGTTAGCAGTCTGCAAAGAACTGAAACTATATCCATGTATATCACCCTATACCAATATTAACTCAAAATGGATCAAGGATCTTAATATCAGACCACAAACTCTAAAGTTGATACAGGAAAGAGTAGGAAATACTCTGGAGTTAGTAGGTATAGGTAAGAACTTTCTCAATGGAACCCCAGCTGCACAGCAACTAAGAGGTAGCATAGATAAATGGGACCTCATAAACCTAAAAAGCTTCTGCTCAACAAAAGTAATGGTCTCTAAACTGAAGAGAACACCCACAGAGTGGGAGAAAATATTTGCCAGCTACTCATCAGACAAAGGACTGATAACCAGAATATATAGGGAACTTAAAAAACTAAATTCTCCCAAAACAAATGAACCAATAAAGAAATGGACAAGTGAACTAAACAGAACTTTCTCAAAAGAAGAAATTCAAATGGCCAGAAAACACATGAAAAAATGCTCACCATCTCTAGCAACAAAGGAAATGCAAATTAAAACCACACTAAGATTCCACCTCAGTCCTGTTAGAATAGCCATCATCAGCAACACCACCAACAGGTGTTGGCGAGGATGCGGGGGAAAAAAGGAGCCCTCTTACACTGTTGGTGGGAATGTAAACTAGTACAACCACTCTGGAAAAAAATTTGGAGGCTACTTAAAAAGCTAAACATTGATCTATTTGATCCAGCATTACCACTCTTGGGAATATACCCAAAAGACCGTGACACATGTTACTCCAGAGGCACCTGCACACCCATGTTTTTTGCAGCACTATTCACAATAGCCAAGTTATGGAAACAGCCAAGATGCCCCACCACTGATGAATGGATCAAGAAAATGTGGTATCTATACACAATGGAATTTCATGCAGTCATGAAGAAGAACGAAATGTTATCATTTGCTGATAAATGGATAGAATTGGAGAACATCATTCTGAGTGAGGTTAGCCTGGCCCAAAAGACGAGAAATCGTATGTTCTTCCTCATATGCGGACATTAGATCAAGGGCAAACACAACAAAAGAATTGAACTTTGATCGTAAGATAAAAGCGAGAGCACACAAGGGAGGGGTGAGGATAGGTAAGACACCTAAAAAATTAGTTAGCATTTGTTGCCCTCAACGCAGAGAAACTAAAGCAGATACTTTAAAAGGAACAGAGGCCAATAGGAGAAGGGGACCAGGAACTAAAGAAAAGGTTACATCAAAAAGAACTAACCTAGAAGGTAACACACATGCACAGGAAATTAATGTGAGTCAACTCCCTGTATAGCTATCCTTATCAACTAGCAAAAATCCTTGTTCCTTCCTATTATTGCTTAAACTCTCTCATCAACAAAATTAGAGATAGGGGCAAAATAGTTTCTGGTGGGTATTGAGGGGGTGGATTTTAAGCGAGGGGGGTTGGGGCAGGGAGGAGAAATGACCCAAGCTTTGTATGCACATATGAATAATACTGAAATAAAGAAATAAAAAAAAAGAATGGACAAAAGATCTGAGTAAACATTTCTCCAACAAAGACATAATAAACGCTTGAAAAAATTTTACATCATAAATGATCAGGTAAATACAAATTTAAAGCACAGTGAGACACCACTTCACACCCTGTAAGACAGAATAAGCAAGTGCGATAATTACATGTGTTGTGTAGGATATAAATAAATTGTCTTCAAGTACTATTGATGAGAAGGTTAAGTGGTGAAGCTTCTTTGGAAAAATTTTAACAGTTCTTTAAACAGTTACAATATGACCAAGCAATTACACAGGTATTTACTGAAAGGACAATGACTGCAGAAACAGTTGCAACGAGTGTGCACAGCAGCATTGTTCATCATAGCCTCAAAGTGGAAATAATCCAAATATCGATCACAGAGGAATACATAAATAAGATGTGGTATATCTTCACAATAGAGCGATTATTTGATATAAAAAATAAGATCCTGAAGCTGGCAGAGTGACTCAAGTGGTAAGAGCACCTGCCTAACAAGCCTGAGACCCCAAGTGCAAACGTCAGTACCACAAAAAGAAAAAAGAAAAGATCTTGACACATGCTACAAAATTAATTAACCATAGAAACATGGTCAGTGAAAGAAGACAGTGACAAAAAGTATACATATTTTGTGATTCCATTCAAATGAAAATCCAGAATAAGGACATCTATAGTGATAGAAAGTAGTTCCTTTGAGCATTGAGCAGGGAAAGAAGGGAAAAGGGAACTAGTGATTGGTAACAGATAGTTAAAGGGTCTGGATTTCTTTTTGAGGTGATGAAAATGTTCTAAAATTAACTGTGGTGATGGTTACTTATATTTGTAACTATACTAAAAACCACTATATTGTACTCTTTAAATAGGTGATTGTATGGTGTGTAAATTATATCTCAGTAAAGAACGAATTGAAATGCTACCCTGACATAGTCCAATTGGACCGATTACTTACTCTGATATCATTATATCTTCTAATGTACAATCTACTTGTCTGTCTTGTTCAGTAAAATATAGGGTCTCAAGAACATTTTAAGTACTGTGAGTATTACATTCTATCAGTATGCATGTAGTTGTAAGATACACATTGAAAACTGCAGAATCAGAATTAACAAATGTTGTTAATGCCTATACAATCTGTGCTAACTAGGTAATGTGGAACGTGAGTACAATGTGTTATATTTAACATAATGTCAGAAGGCTGACTAAACACAAGGATACCTTGGGTGTACAAAGGAAAAAGAGCAATGATTGTTTTGGTAAGTCTGTGACGCACTTAGTAATTTAGAGGAAATTTTAGCTATAACTTATAAAAGAATAAAACACCCAGGATCCCTGTAATAGGTGTGCCTCCCAAGATGTGCCTGTGCTTTTCGGACTTGTGTATGTGAATCATTTACTCTTCACAGTTATTGTCTGAGGTAGATTTGAGATTTTTTGGGGTTCTTTTTTTTTTAACATTCAGTGGATAGTGTTCATTGTAATGGAGTTTCACAAAGGCATGGTATATATCTAGTTTGCCCATATCTAATAAACGCTTTTAGTAACCTGTTTATTTTAATTATTTAATTAGTACAGAATGAACAAATTGAAGGTGTCAAGGTAATTATTTGAAATAAATTAGTCTGTTTGTAAGCAGGATTTTACAATGAAATGCTTGACATACACTAAAGAGTAAATCTCTTATTCATTTTGGGGAAATGCACTTTTGGCTGCAGTAGTTGTTTAATTGCTTATTTGAAGTTTCTTTTTATTAGTATTAAAGTACAAGTAATTTCAAGCATATAAATTTAAACATTCTTTAATTTCTGAGTAGATGAGCTCTTCTCCTCTGTTTTGGTTGGAGGAAGGTGATGTGACTTCTTAAAAGCTTCAAACCATGAGCCTAAATGGTCTCTGCAAATCCAGCCCTTAGGTTGGATATCCCTTTAGCTACCTTCCCAAAGTTAGTGGTGGTTTTTCTCCTGGTATCTTAGCACCAACAGGCCTAAGCAGGTTTGTGTGGGGTTTTTGTTTTTTTGGGTTTTGCTGTAGTGGAAAAGTAAAGTAAAATGATATTTAAGTAAAAGTTCAAAATAAAAGTGTTGTAAAAGTTTAAAAGATTTACTCTTATAGTAAAGTATTAAAAGAGTGCATTATAATTTTTATTTTCAAGGTTTTACCAATTCTTGAGATTCTGTATCATGTTGAAGAAAGAAATTCACACCACGTGTATATGGCCCTTATAATTCTGTTGATTCTTACAGAAGACGATGGCTTTAATAGGTCCATTCATGAAGTGGTAAGTTACCATTACTTTATTAGAGTTATAGAACAGACATGTCTCTCCATAAGGTTTACTTGGTTTTAGCATTTCTTCTGTCTTTTCCTTCTGATAGATGCTTCTGTGAAGATCTAGATTAGAAATGGTGCCTTTCTTCAGGTTTATAAAGTAGTGTGTGTTTTTTTTTTCCTGGACAATTATTTGCCACAATTAAAGCCTCTGTCAAAATGGTTCTTTAGTAATTGATGCAAATGTTTTTGCTCATTTTTATCCATTTCATTTTGACTTTTTAGTTGTGGCAGGAATTGTCACGTAGGTTTTCTTTCTTGCATACAGGATGAGAGAAGTAATAAGGAACAAATGGAAGAAGATTGAGAAGTTGTTTATGTTTTTAAAAATAGTCTATAACATGATTTAACTCTTTACATTTTAGTCCTTTGAAAAGTTCTGTTCCCAAACTGATTTTATCTTTCTCTTTGGCATTTTCATCATGTCAAAGTACATAGTTTTAAAACTTAGGTAGAAGTGTGAGGTTTTAATGAAAAGTGGCAGACTCATGTCTATTCTATTCCTGGTTACCATTCTCCTAAGACAAATGCTTCCAGCTCCATCCATATCTCTACATACTTACATTGTTATTTCTTAATTTTCTAGCTGTTGCTATTATTATCTTCCTAATATGCCAAATAAGCCACTAGTTCTTCTTCCTGCATTTTGTAATGTCCAATACTATTGAGCATTTTAATGTGCTTTTCATGTGCTTATGTATCTTCTTTTGTAAAGCATCTTTGTACATCTTTTATCCATGCTTTTAAATTATACCTTGTATATTTATTTGTTTTGGTAGTACTAGAGATTGAACCCAGGTCCTCGTGTATGCTAGGCAAACACTCTCCCACTGAGCTGCACTACCAGTCCTTTTTTTTTTCTCTTTAAAAAAAATAATGATTGTAGATTCACATGTAGTTTTAAGAAAAATACAGAGAGATCATTTGTGTCCTTTACACTTTGCCTCAATGGTAGCATCTTGGAAAACACTAGTATGGTATCATAACCATGATCTTGACATTGATACAGTCAAGATACAGAACATTTCCATCACTAAAGGTAAATCCCTCACCTTGCACTTGTATAGTTACATCCCCTTTTAAAAGATTGGCTTGTTCTGTTATTATTGAGTTATAAGAATCACTTATATATTTTGATCATTTGCTTTTTTATATTCCAGTCTGTTAATATAGTGATTAATTTTTTAATATTAAGTGTATCTTGACATTCTTTGGATAAACTACACTTGCCCATGATGCATTTTTTAGTGCATTTTTATATACAGTTTCATTAAGTTTTTCGCTTTGTTAGTCTTTTAATTTGTTCATATCTTTTAAGGTATTAAAGTTATTGCCATAAGATTGTTTATAATATGCAAATTGTTTACTTTGTACTTACTTGAGACTCAATTTATTCTTTTTTGTGCGGCTTTCTTAAGGTAAAAACTTAGATCTTTGGTTTTAAATCTGTCTGCTTTAACACTATAAGCAAAGCATGTGAGAACATTTTTCAGACCTCGGACAGTAGAGAGTACAGGAGAGTATGTGATCCCAGAAAGAAGGAAAAGAAATTCCTTGTAATAATAGTTATTTTTAAGAATTTGAAAGTACATTAATGTCAAATTTATTACTACCACCTAAAATGCTAATACTTTGGCTTAAGAAGAATTCTTCTACTGTCTAGTGTAAATGATATGTGCTCATTCATTAACTAGAAATTATAAATGTTAACAGGTGATATTATTTCAAACATTTTTCTGCATGCATGTTCTATTATCTAGCAGAATGTATAAATAGATTTAAATAAATTTATAAAAATGGAATTCACTTTAGATATGCTTAATAAAAATGACTTAAAAATCCAAGATTTAATTCCCCACATACTTGTGTTTTCTTTTCTCCCTCCCCTGTAAATTTTTTTGGTATTTTTGCTTGGAATTTAGAGTTTCTCTGGAAGAAATTTCCTTATATCGCTATTTTTTTTTTTTTTTACTTCTTGTCCCTTCTTCTAATGGCGTGGATATTAAATTTCCTCTTATAGTTTCTGTAGAGAACTTCTCAGTTTGGTCTTTCAAACCACAGAGTCATTTTTCCATAGTGCTCATTCTGCTAACTTCTCTTTAAAATTTTAGCCACCATATTTTTTAATCTTTAGCAACTTTTCTTTTTCCAAAATTTTCCCTTTCCATAGCAGCCTGTTCTTCTTTTATAGATGCAATAATCTGTCAGTCTCACCAAATCCATTAAGTAGAGTCTTAAAAAATATTTTAATCTTCCTAAATTATCTGTTTAATTGCAGGTGTTTGCTTTCAATATTTATTTGGTAAGCATCTTATGTGAGCACTATCAAACTTAAATATAATTGGAGAAAATAGTAGTTAGCATGAATCCCCCCCTGCTCATTATTGACATTCTGCTGCTTTTGTTATCTCCCCCATCCTCACACTCACCACCTTTTATATTTTGGCTGCAGTCTTCTAAAATACACCTTATATATAAATTATACATGTAATTTCATTGTAAATTAACAATTTACATTGTAAATATTTTAGAATGTCCCTAAAGCAAGTACAGCCTTTTAAAAAATGCCTTAGTCCACTTGTTAAAATCAACCATTTTGTAGTTCCTGCTAACGTTCAATTCATTTTCTCCAGTGATCTTTAAAATGTCTTTTTAAGAGTTGATTTGTTTAAATCATATTCCAAAGCCCACTTGTTGTATTTCATTATTAAGATTTTTTTAAATCTATAATTATATCCCCTTCCCACCTTATTATATCACTTATTAAAGAAACTGTATCCTTTGTTTAGTGGAGTTTCCTACATTTGTCTTTGTCTAGTTATTTTATCGGGTTGTTTAGCATGTTCCTCCAGCCTCCGTATTTCATGTATACGGGTAATTAGAACAGAAACTTCATTAGGTTCAGCATCTCTCTCTTTTAGGTTGTTGAATTTCTTCTTTTTTAAATGGCTTTTTGTTATCCATTTATAATTAAAAATGCACATCTAGACTCATTTGTTTTGGAAGATTCTGGAATTTCCTTTGGCAGTTGTGAATGCTAAAGATCTGTTGTGCCCAGCAGATGAGTATATCTTCTTAGGAAAGAGGGCAAGAACAGCCTAAAAGTCTTCCTTTTTCATGCATATTATATAGAAGAATATGGTACATTGGCTCTTCTTGAGTCAAAGGAGAAAGGATAATGGACGAGACCATTAGGGAGTTCTAGTGCTCAGTTGAGCTGGTTGATTGGTTGTTTGGTTTGCATTTTACCTTCTTTGTGGCTGTTGTGCTGCCCAGATTCTGTATGTGTGCTTTCCTCCCTCCCTCCCTGACACCTGTATTACATATTGACTGTGGAAACATCCCAATTTAGGAAACAGTTCTTGCTTGCACAGGCCTGGAGGTGTGCTCCAGAGCTGCCTGCTTGGAACAGCTATAGAGGAACACTGCACATCTCTTCTTGAAGGTCAGGCTTATTGTGCCTCTTGTCTCCTAAACATATGTATGGAGATTTTCTGTGCTCTGTTGGGAAAGCTCTACTTTCCCTTTTCAAGAAGCCACCTACCTTTCCTTATTTTTGCTTTCAGTTTGCTAAGCTTTATTTGGTTTGTCTGTCACTTTTATCCGATGTGCCATATCTCTTTCAGATGCATCTTCTTCTTGGTTGCTAATGATATTATTAGCTCTCTTCTTTCTGTTCACACCTGTCTTTTTTTCCTCTTGTTTTAGAAGGAAGATAGAGAAGTAAACACATTAGCTCTAAAAGCTTATTAGAACTGAAAAATCTCAGTTTTTTTTTCTGTTGTGACTTGTCAAAAATTGTAGCCATTGAACAATTCCTTTTTCTTTAAAGCAATAATTTTTACTTAAACTTTTCTTCCCCCATACAGATATTAAAAAATATTACTTGGTATTCAGAACGGGTTTTAACTGAGATTTCACTGGGGAGTCTCCTGATTCTGGTTGTAATAAGAACCATTCAGTACAACATGACAAGGACAAGAGTAAGTATTCTGTAACGCTGTTTCTATCTTTATGTATACACTATAATTATGACTATAGTTTAAACCATCTCAATTTTTCGAGTGCTAAAAATCTTATAAAATATGGTGGAAAAATACAAATCAGGATAGTTACTATATTACATGATTGAAATGTAATGTTTGTTTTACTATTTAATGGTTGAATAATCAGAGCTATTTTAAATGAAATAGAAGACAAACAGTGCAGCACATTTAGATCAAAACTCTTTGCTGGACTGATAACATTGATTTACCTCTGAAAAGTAACAACAAAATACAAGATGCGAGCATGAGAAAAAAATGAATTCAGATGGGAAAGAAAAATAAGAGCTAGAAAATGCTTCAAAGAGTTAAAAAATTTCTACTGGATTCTATTTGTACGAACCAGGAACAAATTTTAGTTCTGCTCAATAGAAATATACTTTCAGAGGGAAGCAGTATACAGAATTCATAGCTTAATGATAAAGTCTGTTTAAGTATTTCATATTTCTCTCTATGGGGCTGGTATAGATAACCATTTTTTTTAATCTAAGGCCCTAGGAACTAGATGTGTTTTAGAATGGAGATTTTATTTTTTATATTTTAGAAATGTAGTTGTAGAGTACATGCTATACCATGTGTAACCATGAGGATCTGAAGCAGCACACTGTAATTAAGATCAGTATTTCTGTAGTAAATGATTTCATTATTCACCATGGTGGAATGATGACGACCGTCAACAGCATCATCTTATTTTGTGTCATTCATTGCTTCCAAATGAGTTATGAAAATACTTTGATTCTCAGTACTTTATGGATTTTTGAAACTAAAGAAAAGGAATTGTGGATTTGAACTATCTAAATTAGTGACGGTTTATATTTGTATCTAGTTAACCTTGCTTAATATAGAGAATACTTGATACATACTTTATTTAAACTTGTTTTCTAACAGGACAAGTACCTTCACACAAATTGTTTGGCAGCTTTAGCAAATATGTCAGCACAGTTTCGTTCTCTCCATCAGTATGCTGCCCAGAGGATCATCAGGTAAATATGGGCCTAAAAGGAATACTGAGTTTTGCCTTAGGGCTGGCCTATAGTATACTAAGGTGATCCCAAGTAATCCTAAACTTTCTTAGTTAAATTTTATCATCTTGTTTGGTTGAAAATATCTTGTTCTGTTTTGTTTTCTAACCTACTTTTTGATAAAGTTAATTATGTTTACTTTTAACCCTTTTTATAAAGTAGATTTTGCAAATCTTAACTTTTGGTGTTGTGTGTTAGCTTTTTAGAAGAGCAAGTATTTTTCTTAGTAATGCAAATTACATCTTAACATATTTGTTGAGTATTTTATAGAGCATCATGCTATATTTGTACAGCGTTATCTGTATCTGTTTTAGAGAATTCTTTATTTTTTTTCCAGTACCACAGATTGAATAGGATTGAATTGATTGCACATGCTAGACAAGTGTTCTACCACTGAAGTACACCCTGGCCTAGTAATTCTTTCCATACCAATTTTCTCTGGTCTTAGTTTCCTAGTACTGTCATAGCAAATTATTACAAATTAATGGCTTGAAACAACATAAATTTGTTATCTTACAATTTTGTTGTTTATAAGTTCATCACAGGTCTCACTAGGCTAAAATCAAAGCCTTCTTTCTGGAGGCTGTAGAGGAGAATCTGTTTCCTGGTCTTTTCTTGCTGGTAGAGACTGACTTATTCCTTGGCTCAGGGTCCCTTCCACCAATTTTTAAAGCCAGCAATAGTAGGTTGTTGAGTCTTTTTGACACTGTAGTCTGACTCCAGTGAATCCTTGTGACCTGAATAATCCAGGGTGATTTCCCTACCTTAACAGATTAATAACTGCAAATTTCCTTTTGCCAAGTAAGGTAACATATATGCAAGTTTGGGGGACTAGGATGTGGACATTTTGGGGGAGCTATTACTCTGCCTGCCACAGCTGTCATCACCAGAAACTCCTGTCATTTTCTCATTATTTGCCCAAGACAGTTTTTAAAGGTAGGAAAGCTAATTAACCAATCATGAATATCATTTTCAAGTGTTCTTTAAAGACTATATAAGTACTTTTTTGTCTTCCACTAGGATGCTTAATACTGTTGTAGCAGCTCTCAAGTAGAACACTTGTTATGTAAGTCAGTGAAATAATAATGTTTTCTTTAACTCTTGCTTTTAGGGCAATGCAATTTTGGCCACTAGTTTTTGTATCCAGCCATTGGTGTTGATCCTAGCTCCATATATATCTTTCAAGCTCTGATCTCACATTCTGCCCTTTTGTCATATTTATTGGCCTGGTCTTATTTTTAATAATTATTCAAAATTAACTTTTGTTCTTCATCTTTGGAATTTAGCACAGAATAGTTTACATTGACTCATAATTTAATTTATGTCTGTTCTTTATGCATTCTATTAGACAGGGGCGGGGCTTGTACTTGAGAGCGGTCCATTTAGCTGAATTTGAGCTAACACGAACTTCATGATTTCATAACCAGAGTTTCCCAGGTTATTCTGAAGAACCCTTAATTTCCAGAAGTTAACCTTTGTCACTGTGCTTTATTTCAGCCTGACAAGTTTAATGATTTCTGTGCTGCTTTGTGGTTCTTTTCTATGTGTATATGTGGAAGTTTTATAGTTATGAAGATTTCATTATAAGATCAGTTTTTGTCAACTGTTAAGGCTTGTTCAGTATAAAAATGCCAAAGGAACTGGTTCAGAATTTAAATTCTGACAAAATGTATTAAGTAGATTCAACAACAATTTTCTAGATGAAGAGTTGGAAAGTTGCAAATGAAGCATTGAGCCTTTTTCTATCTGTGGTGCCAAAAATAGAAAACAAGCCAATTATTTTGAAGAACTAAGAAACCCTTTTTCCTTTAATTTGTATATCAGGTAGGGTCTGTGCTTTTGCTCTGACCAGCCTCAGACTTTAGTCTTCTTACCTCTGTCTCCAGAGTAGCTGAGATTACAGGTGTGCACTACCACACTTGGCCCTCCCTCAAATTCTGTGGCTTACTGAGCCTGAAGTTGGTCTAGCAGTGCCCTTGTATCTTACATTCATATCTTCATTTCTGTCTCCATGACTTCTGTCTTACTTCACTGTTCATCATCTTCATCCAAACTGTCTGTAGTCTGCCTGGTCTTTTGCCTCACCATTGCCCCTCCACAATCTCCCTCCACATTACTGCATTTATTGAAAAGCAAATCTGAGCATACTGCCTCCTTTGATTAAAATCATTAAATGTCTTCCCATCACCACCTGCTCAGAGCAGTAGTTCTTCACTGAGGGTGATTTTGCTCCTCAGGGGACCCTTGACAATAGCTGAAGTTGTTTGCTGGTTGGTTGCCACACCTGGGGAGGAGGTTGCTGCTGACATCTAGTGGAGAGACACCAGAGGAGTTCATAAACTTGCTGCAGTGCACAGGACATTCCTGAAACAGTTATCCACCCCAAATGTTGGTGCTGCCAGAGCTGGAACTGCCTAGGAGTGGCATGGCCCCAGTTCTGCCCTTTGCTCTAAGATTTGATTGCTCATTGGCACACTCTGGCTGCTTCAACCTTACTGAATCACTGTAGTACCCACCTCTTTCACAGCCACGCTCCTGCATCTGCAAGTGTAGCCTGCAACTACAGATGACACAGTGGACAGCACAGCTTTCTCCTAGTCTTTCCTTTCAACCAGCTTTGTATGCCTTCATTCTGATTGCTTTACTTGAGCCTGTAATGGCTTCTTCAACTTGTCAGGGCCCCAGCAGCTCCTAAGCTTTTTATCCTTGGACCTGCTTCGTTAGCAAGGTTGCTTCCTGTTTCCCCATTCAAATGACGAAGAGAAAGAACCACAATGGCCCTGTTCATCCCTTTATAGCAACCCATGGGGCACTCTCAGTTCTTGGTTCAGGGCTAGTTACTAGGGCAGGAGTTGGAAGGGCCAGGAACAAAGAAAGTTACATGCTAGAAAATCTGGCTGTGGTCACCTGTCTGTCTCAGAAGCAAACATGGGAAAAAGAGCTTCAGAGTCCAGCGTAGGTGCTTATGACACATTCGTCTGGCTTGAAGTTGCAGGTCTTGTTGCTTAAGTAGCGCAGTAATTACTGGAGATAAAAGATTTGTTTTGTATTTCTTTGCATTACTTTACAGAGACTTGCTCTCAGTACATACACAATAATAGGCTTTTAATAAATAGTTAGTTACCGGTTTTTGGAGAATGATCTAGCTCTGGGATTGGAGGTGGAGTACTGGGGTTTGAACTCAGGGTCTCGTGCTTGGTAGGCAGGTGCTCTACTACTAAAGCCACTCCATCAGTCCTTTTTATATTGTTTATTTTTGAGATATGGGGTCTCTCTTTATGCCAAGGCCAGTCTGGACTCCAATCCTCAAACCATGCCCAGTCATTGGTTGAGATGGGGTTTCACAGACTTTTAACCTGGGCTTACTTGAACTGTAATCCTCCCTATCTCTGCTTCCTGAGTAGCTAAGATTACGGGCTTGAACCACCACACTGTCTGGCTTCTGGGATCAGAAACTTGATTCTGGCACCCACTATGCTGTTCTCATAAATTAGTTGCTCTCTGGCCACATTTTGCAGATATCTGCTGCTTCCTAAATCTAGTAAAGTTGATGAGGTCCTCCCTGTCATTGTTGAAAGATTTCTGGTTTTCAAACATCTGAGAAGTTTGCTACATATCTACCTAGGAAGACAGGATAATGAAACTTACCAAACACTGTATGAAAAAGATGAGGTGGTAAACTTGTTCAAGTACACGTTTGGAATTAATCACAGTGAAATACCCTTGTGTTATTAATGTATGCTAATTCAAAAATAAATTAAAATTTAAAAATGAAATATCTGAGAAGTTTATATAAAATAGATTAGGTTTTTAATTAAAATAATTTATTTCATGAGTAGTATTGTCATTTTTTGGTAAATCTAATCATGTAATTTAATAATTTAAAAATCCTTGAACCATGGTTTATGCTTTTGCCTTTTCTTACCATGAACAGGCATCATTAACAAACTCAAACCTCTCAGGTTTTCACCAAGTGTGCTGCTGAACAGCTTCTCTCTGTTTGGTCTCTCACTGGCATTTTGAAAGCTGCCTTTTCCTGGTCTGCATATATAATGAGACATACTTTAGTCACTCAGAGAAGTTGGTTATTAGCTCCTATATTGGGGGCAAATTTAGGTATTTCAGGCACATGAAATAAAAGAAAGGAAGATATTTTGCTTTTAATAATACTTTGTAGTATTTACTTACTCTATTAGGCTTCTTCACGTCTACCCACATTGAATTAAACTTTCCTTGTCTGACCTTTTTTTCTGAACCAAATAATACATTGAACTGAAAACCTAAAAGAGAACACTAATAAGCAAGTTGGTGTGTTTGTTGTTAGGACGAATTTATGTTCTACATACACACAAATTCAAATGTATAATATAATAGCAGGACACCTGGTTATTTCTCTTGGTTATGATACTGTAGGGATACTATGCTATTTTCTAAAAAAAATTAATGATATTTTAAAAGGTAAATTCGCGCCCGTCATCTCCAGTGTCTCACTGTTTCTTCCTTTTTATTGCGGTTAAGACTGGCATAAATCTTACACAGTTCAGGGTATTGTACTGGCTTTACACAGCTGGTAAGTGATTGTGTCAGCTTTATCTGTAGCAGAAACCTATTCTCGTTCCACAGCCCTGTCACAGCCAGGCTAGCAGAATGTTATTTCTGAGAGGTATTCTCCTGCTACTGACATCCCAGTGGGATATGGGACCAGGGATCCAGACTTCCTGTGCTTATCGGAAGCAGATGGTGCTCCGCAGTCCAAGGTAGCTGAGCCCTTGTTAGCTGTTCCATCTGATGGTCCCCACCCCTCAATCCAGCTAAGTGCCTAAACTTATAGAAGTAAACACAGTAAGCTCTTTCATTTTTTAAAAAACTAGCTGCTTAAGATAGGTATGGATGTGTTCAAGTATTACAGTATATAGTATAGGGCATTGCCCTGGGAAATAAATGTGAAAAGAGTGAAAGAA